TACGCAGAACAGGTTTGTTAACTTCTTACTCACTCGCTTAGTACATAACTGCGCTATTAAAAATAATATTACACTGTATATATTCAAGAGAATCCTATTGCATGTCATAGGCACGGGAATAAAGATTCATGTAAAGATAGACAGATTATGGGGCGTCAACAAAAGGATGACAATTGTATCTTCTAATAATAATGGCTATTATAATGGCTATTAACGCTTAATTTCTAAATTAAAGAAAAAGGGGATTAAATTGAAATTTACGTCAGAAAATAAGAGCAGAGGAACAATCCAACATTTTAGCAACATGTTGCCCAAGTGGTTAGCATGTCTGCCTCACAATTCTGTGCTTTTGATTTGAATTGCTGCTGCTCAGGTTTCCTCTGGCATTCCTAAACCATGCATACAAAACAACCGTAGGACAGAAAAGACCCGACAAACATGAAGAAATATATTTTGTATTCAGAATGTTTTTATTTGTTTGAAATCTTTAAAACATTTGATAGCCAGTGGATCAAAGACATTACGTCTTTGATCCACTGGACACTGAAAGGACACGTTCTTCTTTCATCTCCTCTTTCATCTATAAATGCTTCAAAGAACAAAGTATATGCAGAAAAGTGGTGAAGATTGCATGACTGTCTGTGTCGTATGTGTTGTATTATTTTGTCATTTTATGTTAACTGTTCTGTTGATGGCGGCGTGGGTACCCACAATGGCCCCTTTCTCTCCTGTGGTTGAGAGAAAAGAAATTTCATCTGTGCTGTATGTTGCACAAAGAGCACATTTGACAATAAAGTTGACTTGACTTGATACGGCGTAATCTCAAACTTATTCAAAATATCCAAGTTCTATTACTTTGATATCCTGGTACGTGGATTATGTTACTAAATACATTTCATCAGAGGGAACCAGTAACTGTTTTGTCATACATTTTTAATGTGACACTCTGGTCCTGGGTGCAACCAGGGCCGTAGCCAGAAATTTTTCATCGGGGTGGCCGGGATGAACCCATGACTCAGCCCAAAAGGTGCATGGCAGCTTTCAATATCGGTCCGATTACAGATAAAAGTGATGCCATATTTTTTTTTCACAATATTGGTCCGACAATTATCATGCAACCTGAGAGCTTGTTCACCTGCCAGTTGAGTTGAAGCACCTATGGCAAAAGCCAAACTGTTAATACTTTCTCAACCAGGCTTTGACATCTCTGCTGGGTTAGTTGCTACACATTTCGAAATGACAGTGAGAGTTGCACTCTAAAAAGCACGTGACAAAAAAAGGGGATAATCAGAACAGGACAGTTAGAATATTCATGCTTCAATGCTTTGTTGAAGCATTCCATCCAATTGGTGTGTGTGGTCCAATTGCCGATGTGTGCACATTTTCAGCATGACGTCTTTGATCCGCTGATGAAAGGACACTTTGATACTCTCCTCTTTCATCGATAACTGCTTCAAACAATGTGTATGCAGAAAAAGTGGTTAAGATTGCACGACTGTCTGTGTCTTATTTGTTGTGTTGTATTATTTTGTCATTTATGTCAACTGTTCTGTGATGGCGGCACGGGCACCCTCAGCTGCTCCTCTCTCTCCTGTGGTTGAGAGGAAAGAAATTTCATCTGTGCTGTATGTTGCACATTTGACAATAAAGTTGACTTGAATTTGAACTTGATTCATGGCAGGTTGTGATTGTGAGCGCAAATGGTTGTTCGTCTATGTGTGTCCTACGATTGGCTGGCAACCAGTTGAGGGTGTACCCCGCCTCCTGCCTGAAGTCAGGTGGGATAGTCTCCAGCGACCCCGCTGAAGATAAGTGGACTTAAAAATGGATGAATGTTGCTGATTCTCCACATATATATATATA